CTTATTGTTCCTGACAACCCTCTGGATGACAAGGGGGACTTAAAATTCAAAATCAACTTTCCACCAGAATACCCATTTGAACAATCAAAGATCTCATTTAAAACAAAGATCTATCACCCGAACATGGCTGAAAGGGGCAGGTCTGTCTGCCAATAATTAGTGCTGAAAACTGGAAACCAGCTACCAAAACTGACCAAGTAATCCAGTACCCTATAGCATTGATGAATGATCCCCAGCCTGAGCACCCACTCTGGGCTGACCTAGCTGAGGAATACTCTCAGGAATACTCTAAAGAATACTCTAAAGACTCTAAAAAATTTTGCAAGAATGCTGAAAGAGTTTACAAAGAAATATGGGAAAAAGCGAACTGTAGGCCAAAATCTGCCATGATCGATTCCAGCAAGTGTGAGCAGAGACCACAAACAATGCATTCAGACATCTGGCAAAGCAGGACTCTGTAAAAAATTGACACGTGTCATCACCTGACATTAACTTGTGGCAGCAACTGTCTACAGTTTTCTTAATCAAAATCAGTCTAGGTCATAAAATAAAAAATAAATAAATAAATAAATGAAGGATTAAAAATTTAAGAAGTTACAAAAAGAAAGAAATCAAGAAATCCATTGAAATCAATGATAATGAGCACATGAGCTTTTATAACCTATGGGACACAGTGAAAGCAGTCATAAGGAGGAAATTCATAGCAATTAGTGTGCACAAGGAAAAAAAAAGAAAACAAAAAAACGAAATCCTAACAACACACCTCAAGGAACTGGAAAAACAACAATAAACTGTGCCCACATTCCCACCCCTCACACCCCCATTCCCCCCAAAAAATAAAACAGGAGAGAAGAAATAATAAAGATTTAAGCAGAAATAAGTGAAATAGAGACTAAACAAACTACAGAAAATAATTTAAACCAAAACCTGGTTGTTTGGGGGAAGATAAACAAAATTGATGCACCATTACCAAGACTAATCAAGAAGAACAGAAAAAGAAACCACATAAATCTAGTCAGCACAAAGTCAAACAATATTAGAACAGACATAACAGAAATACAAAAGATCATCAGAGAATAATACTACAAGCGACTATACACCAATAAACAAGAAAACCTAGATAAGATGGACAAATTTCTGGACACACATAATCAACCAATATTGAATCAGGAAGACATAGAAAGCTGAATAGACCTATGAGAAGCAATGAGATTGAATCACTAATAAATAGCCTCCCTACAAAGAAAAGCCCAAGTACCAGTGGCTTCACTGCTGAATGCTACAAAACTTTTAAAGAAGAGTTAACTCCCATTCTACACAATTTCTAAAGAACCAAAATGAAGGAACCCTCCCAAATTCATTCTTAAAGTCTCCATCACCCTCCTAAAACAGACAAGGGCATATCAAAAAAAAAAGAAAACTACATACCAGTATCTCTGATGAATATAGATACAAAATTTCTCAACAAGATACAAGCAGATCATATCCAATGACACATTAAAATGATTATACACCATAACCAGGTAGGCTTTATCCTGTGAATGCAAGGGTGGTTCAACATATGCAAAACCATTAAGTGTAACACATCACATTACAGATGGAAAGATAAAAACCACATGATTAAATCAATTAATGCAAAAAAAAAGCATTTGATAAAATGCAACATTGTTTCATGATTAAGACTCTCAGCAAAGTTGGCATAGAAGGAACATTTCTCAACTCAATAAAAACCACATATGAAAAACCCACAGCTTAAATCAAACTAAACAAAAACAGAAACAAAAAGGCTGAAAGCTTTTTAAATAAGTACTAGAACAAGATATCTTCTTCATTACTTTTCAATACAGTACTGGAAACCTTAGCCAATGCAATCAGGCAAGATAAAAAAAAAAAAGCATTCAAATACAGAAAGGAGAAGTGAAATTATCTCTATTAGCAGATGACATAATTATATACATAGAAAACCCTGAAGAATTCACACAAAAATAAAAGAGGGGGAAAAAAGTCCTTTAGGTAATGAATGGCTACAGTAAAGTAGCAGGATACAAATCAACATACAAAAATCTGTAGCATTCCTATACACCAACAATGAGCGGACTGAGGGAGAATTTAAGAAAGTAAGTCCTTTTAAAATAGCTACCAAAAGTCTAAGATACCTAGGAATAAACCTGACTGAAGAAGTAAAAGGTCTATTTCATAGTTTTCAAAGAAAACTCTGAAAACCTACAAAAGAAATGGAAAATGACACAAAGTAGAACCATCCCATGTTCCTGGATTGGAAAAATTCATATTACCAAAATGTCAATTCTACTCAAGTTAATTGATATATTTAATACAATCCCAGTCAAATTACCAGAGATATTCTTCACAGATTTAGGAAAAACAATCAAGAATTGGTCTGGAATCATAAAAGACCCTGCATCACCAAAGCAATGCTATACAAAAAGAGTGGAGTAGGAGGAATCTCACTCCTTGATCCCATAATATATTACAAAGCTGTGATAATCAAAACAGTATGGTACTGTCATAAAAACAGCAATGTGGATTAATGGAACAGAATAGAGACTCCAGAAATAAACCCCAAAACACACATACAACTGTTTTTTGACAAAGGACATCAGAGAATCCAGTGGGGAAAAGAAATTTTCTTCAACAAATAAGGCTGGAAAAACTGGGTATCCACCTGCAGAGAAATGAAACTGGACCCCTATCTTTTACCATTAACAAAAATCAACTCAAATGGATCAAAGATCTAAACATAAGATCTCAAACTATAAAGCTATGGGTGAAAAATACAGGAGGAACTCTTAGAAACATTGGAGTAGGCAAAGCCTTCTTAAATGAGACCCCCAAGGCACAGACAATAATCCTAAAAATAGACAAGTGGGTTATAGCATGTTAAAAAGTGTATGCACAGCAAAAGTAACAATAATTAAAGTAAAGAGACAACACTCAGAATAGGACAATATATTTGCCAACTCTCCCTTGAGTAAGACACTGATAACAAAACTATACAGGGAAATCAACCAGCTTACCTGCAAAAAAATAATCAATCCAATTAAAAGATGGGTAAATAAAGTGAATAGACAACTCACCAAGAAAGACATATGAACAGCGAAAAAAATATGAGAAAGTGCTCAACCTCCCTTAGCATAAGGGAAATTTAAATCAAAACCACAGTGAGAAAACATCTAACCCCAGTTAGAATGACTAAGATTAAAAAAAAAAAAAAAAAAAAAAAAAAAAACAAACAAGTATTACCAGTAGTTAGTGTAATGGCTATATTGCTGAACTCTATGTAGCCGACTGCAGTTCGAGTCCCAGAACCGGTGGCTTAAACTCACACTGGGCATGTGTATGTACATGCCCAAGATCCCAAGAGGAGAATGGGGAAGAAGGGATTGCAGTGTGGCCATCACCCTTGGGGGGAGATTTTTCGCTTTCTATCTCTCTGTCTCTCTCTGTCTTTCTGGCAAGCACAGGTGCCCTATAGAAAAAACCTCTCCAAAAAACACAAAAACAAACAAACAAACAAACAAACAAAAAGAACCATAAGTGCTAGTGAGGCTGTGGTGAAAAAGTAACTCTCCTACACTGTTGGTAGGAATGTAAATTAGTACAGCCACTTTGGAGAACATTGTAAAGGTTCCTTAAAGAATTACAAATAGAACTACCATACAATCCAGCAATTCAACTTCTAGATATCTACCTAAAGGACAGGAATACACTAAGTCAGAAAAATCCTTGTACATCCATGTTCACTGCTGCATTACTCACTATTGCTAAAACATGGAATCAATCCAAGTGTCCAAGAACAGATGAAGGGATTGAAAAGTGTGGCACATATATACTATGGAATACTACTCAGCCATAAAAAAGAGGCCCTGGAATTTGATATAAAATGGACAAATATGGAAGATTTAATGCTAAATGAAACAAGCCAGATTATGAAGAGAGGCACTGTATATCCCCACTTAGTATATACCAAATGCCTCTACACTCTATGGCAGAAACTAAAAGACTAGAAGACATAAAAGCATGTTTAGCAACTGCTGAAACCAGAGACAGTTTGGGAGCAGGGTGAGAAATGGTAGGAAGGGAGGGAGGGAATGAAGATAAAAGAAAAGAAGAGAAGAACATTCAACAGTCAAAAAGATGAAAAAGTATCTGTTTATAACAATGTGTATGATAATTACTTTGATTGGAATAACAGGATATTCATGCTGGGAAAAATTTATTTTCATTGTTGTAATGATATATAGTGATTAAATGTAAAAAATAAAAAATACATTAGAAAATTTATCATCCCTCAGGAAATTAAAAAATAAATATGTAAGTCATTTTTAAATTACACTTTATGTTAGCATATGACCCTAAATTAAAGAATGTTAGCAGAAATTGAAAGTTATATTTTGGTAGGGATAGTGAGAAAGAAAATAAAAGTATAAGTCATTTCCATTTGAGTAGGCCCTGAGGAATAGGCAGACATGGGACTTTGGCCATGCTTGCTGTAACCCTGTGATCTTGAAAAATATAAAAGAAACTTTTGCATACCAATAACAACAAAAAAGTCACAGAAAAAGAATGCCTAAGTATAGGAAAGAGTATGATATGGCTTCAAAAACCACTAAGAGTAACATATTAATAGTGTTATATTAATATGACACAAAAGAGAGCTAATTAGGGCAAGAGAGATGCACTTTATTACATAAAGCTTTAAAATTTCTGTCATGAGAAGACTGCACAGGCAGAACTGAAGATAAAGATCAAGTAAGAAGGGTAAACAATCTCCAAATACATTCTAGACAAAGGGTTACTATTGCAAATATAAAAGAACCACTACAAACTAGTCAGAAAATTTTAGGACTTAAAATAAAAACAGAAAATATATGAATAGGTAATTTGTAAAGAAGGAAGTACTAGGCAAAAACTTTCTCATCCTAACTCCATGTGATACTTAAAGAGTAAAGTTACATAATATAGAATGAATTCATACTAACGTTTAATATTACTTTTTCAGGTAACAGCGAAATGTCACATGATGAAGTCCCACTCATAAAGACTTCTGAAAAACTTGGTCCAATGAAACTGGTTTCTTCACCAATACTTCCTTTGACTTTTAACTTGTTTTTCCATTTTTTCAACTGAATTTCATGTTTCAATATCTGCAATAAAAATAATTTACAAATTCCATGGAATTGTAAGGGTCAAATGAAATGACAAATATAAACCACTGTGCTTAACTCAGTAATAGCACCAATTAAACATTACTGGATATAACCATCATTATCATATAAGCTATTCTGTAAAGGAATGTTTTATATTCTCTGAACAACCAAAGTATTACAGATCATTTCCATTTTTGTTGTAAAATAATGGCACAGGCAGTCACCTTGAAGATTTGGTCTGATCTCCTCTTTTATAAGTGAGGAAGCTGAGGCACACAAAGTCAAGGTTAAAATGACAGAACTGGTACTTAGGGGATAGAAGAGAGATGGTAGGCACAGAAATTAAAAAAAGAAAAAAAGGAGAGTCAGAAGAAAAGTATTTGGGAAACTTGCTTGATTTATCATTACAAGAAGCCCCTTTTTAATTGTTGATACATTACCGTATAATAAATACAAAACTTTTAGAGTAAATAATCACTTCACCCATGCACGCACACAATTTTGGTGTAATATACTGACACATATCAGAGCCTAAGGAAGAGCACATGTTGGAGAGCAAGCACATACAGGTGCTCCCTGTCTATGCTCCCAGCATATCCCTGCCATTCTCACTCCACCTAATCATTCTGAATGTAGAATGATTGTTACACCAAAAAATCACACAGCTAGGAAAAAAAGATTCTTAGAAAACTTAGATCCTTAGAAAAGATTCTAGGAGCCTAATTAATTGTACTATGCATGTAGGAATTAAGGAGAGTACTAAATTACAGATAATATGTGATAAATATTAATATACATGACCTAGTACGCACAATACATATGGGGAAGATTAAGAGAACAATACTGCCTGCTCTCAGGGATGTTTCAGCTCAAGGGAGGTGTAAAAGTCTGGATATACACAGTTATGTTCAGTTACTTATTACACTATTGGACAATCAGTGATCAGGCACAGAGAGCAAAACACTACCTTAGTATATAAAGCAGTGGAAAGCAGTGAATAAGCCGATTAACACACTGGTACACAAAGTACAACTGTTTAACCGGTAACACTGAAAAAGTAGTCCACAAAAAGGACTATTATAAAACTAAGACCCCAGTTGAATACCCACATATTATAAACTTCTAGAGAGCAAGAACTATATGTCATGTATCTCAGTATCCTTCTCAGGCTCTAGCACTGTTTCAAACACTATGTGAGTAATAAACCTCCTTATACCCTCTTGCTCATGTATGGCATTATCTATTTCAACATCTGGGCCAAGTTTGGGTGAGTAAAGTATTAATTCTGCCCTCCCTAGGGCAACCACAAAAGAAGGGGCTTAATTTCATCCTATTTTTTTTCTTCTATTTATCCAGACTTTTATTCCAAAGGATATTAATAACTCTGGCCCAGCCACTGTGGCACAACGGTAACGAAATGCTCTGCAATGTTGGAAGCCATATGGAAAACTGGAGTTTGGTTCCTTGGTCAAACTGTACACAACAACTATATGTGAGCGCCCTTGATCCTGCTGGCTGGGAATTTGGGGGGAGTATCACGATGTAAGCCCCTGCTGAGGGTGCTTCTCTCCCTTTCTCTCTCATGAAAAGAAATAAACTAAAAAAAAAATAAATAAAAATAAAGATTCAAGTTCAGCAACTTAATAATTTAAGAAATTATTTAATATTGAAACTTAATAAGTTTAATTTATTAAACTAAATATTAAAAAAAGAATAAATAGAAATTTAACTCTATCCCAAAAAAGGAATAAATGTATTTGGCCTACCATTTATTTTTCTACTATAATCATACCAAATAGTCTTTCTTCATTTTTAGGTGTCTATCCACTTAAATATTTATTTAAACAAAAGTTTTAGCTTATTAATAAATTTTAACAAAAGATTTTTCTTTGATATTCATAGTTCAGATGAAACAATATAAGTGATTAGGAAACATTTGGGAAAGCTGAAGTGAAATTTAAATTAAAAGAACAAGGACCCTACCAAAAGGACACTTGTTCAGAAACTTGGTATTTTCTACACCAAGTACTACTTTCTGAGGCAATATAACTATAACTTAGAAATTTAGATCTTAGAAAATTAAGTTTCCAATATATCATACCAGCTCATCTTCTCTGCGTTTACTCTTCTCTCTTGCTTTATTCTGCCAATTCATTAGGATAATTGTTAGTCTCTGACAATAGAACATCTGTTGTAACCGCTCCATTGTAGCTGAAGAAAATTTATTAGATCACTGTAAATAGCTAAGTCTGCTTCCAAAAAGGTGATTTGATATTTTATGCTTATAATATGAACCAGTATTATCGCCGAAAGTTTATTTTATTTATTTATTTTTAGGTTTTAGCCATAGGACACATGCATGCACTTGCCAGAGATAGACAGTGAAAAGGAAAGTGAGAAATCATCCCCCAAGGGAGTTAGCCCAGCCACAATTCCTGCTCCTCCATGCTCCTCTTGGGATTTTGGCCACATGCACACATGTGCCCAGCATGATTTTCAAGCCACCTGGTCTGGGACTCAAACCACAGTAGAATGTGTGCGAGTCCAGCACCTTAAACACTACACCACCTCCTGGCCCTCTAAAATATATATAACTAAAATAAGTTATATCAGAATTAATTATTTTTGATAGCATTACGTAGTATGCCTGAGACTTTATTAATCTGCAATCACCTTTGTTCTTAGAAATTAAGATATGTTAACAGATGCAAAAGAAATAGCAATACATATTTCCTTTTTTAAAGTCTGGTTTTTTTTTGATCAAACCACAACTTCCAAACTTATTCATAAAGAATCCAATCATAAGGTAGTATTCAGATCCAGTACCTTCAAATTCATTTATATGCCCTATGGTTGAATGGGCCATAGAGTTTTAATTATTGTCTAATATTCAAATATCAGCCCAGGAAGAAGAGTGACTGAGGCTGGGCTAGAGATAACTGCCCACAAATGGCAGTGGCTTTTAGCAACAGTCAGTGTTCTCCTCTCAGAAACAGAGGGGCGGGGGACCAGCAGTTGGCATAATGGCTATGTCGCTGGACTCCCATGTAGTTGACCGCGTTTCGCGTCCCGGACCCGGTGGCTTAAAACTCAGCCGGGCACGTGTATGTGTGTGTGCCCAAGATTCCAAGAGGAGACCGGAAGAGAAGGGATTGTGGCATGGCCATCCCCCCCGGGGGGTGATTTCTTGCTTTCTGTCTCTCTTGTCTGTCTGGCGAGCGCATGTGCCCTATAGCAAAAACCTCTCCAAAAAGAAAAAAAATAGAGGGGCAGTATTTGTTTTTACATTTGGTTTGTCTTGAGATTTTGTTTTTGTCTTTTCACCTCCCCCCCCCCAAAAAAAACCAGGATATCTGGTCTTACATGAGTACTTATGTGTATTTAAACTTTGGCAACAATTTTTAAATTTTAATATTCTGCAAAAAGAGCAAATTATCAGTTTTCAATGCCATGGTTAGAATTTTAAAGCTTCTGTCTCTCCATCTATTATATTAATTTAGAAGACAGTTACTACCTATTATTACAACTCTGAATTCTAGTTAGCTTTTTCACCAGTTTCTAATCCTTCATTACACTTAAACGAAAACCCTCAGAGGATCCACTCTCACTGAAGCACTAACAACAGCCATTTAAAAGGAAAACAATATGACCTATCTATGGTGGCACAGCAGGAACACATGCTCTGTAGTGCTGGAGGACATAAGGAAGACTGCGTTTAAGATCCTGGGTCAACTGGGCACATGCATCTACGCCCAAAATCCTTGCAGCCTAAAAATGCTGGGGGCGGGGGGTGGGGAGGAGGGAAATGAATGTGGCATGAGATCCTATTGAAAGTGTTGTCTTTTATTCTCTCTTTCATAAAACAAATAAATGCACAAACTTTAAAAGGTAATGATTTTCTGATTTGTAGTAGCCATAAACAAGTCAATATTTGGAAAGCAAAAATCTTAGCAAAAAACTGGAGTTCTTTATCCCTATTCCTAAAAATCACATATATGCACTACTATTTACAACCACCAAGGTCTTAAGCAAATGATTTAAGGTTTGTGACATATACATTAAAAGACATATCTTTAAAGAATGGAGAACTCTCTTGGGATCAGCAGATGGCATAGTGACTGTGTTGCTGGAATCTCACCGAGTCCCAGACATGGTGACTTCAAACTCACACCTGGCTCATGTGTGTGGATGCCCAAGATTCTGGGAGGAGAATGGAGAAGCAATTGCACTGTGGCCATCCCCCTGGGGGGTGATTTTCCATAATATACCAGCTCTCTTTTATGTAAAAAAGCTGACAATATTGATATATCCCTATTTATTTATTTATTTATGTTTATATACACACATACAAATGCATATAGAATTTGATTTATTTTAAATGTTTCTGTTATTTGGGAATCAGCAGTTAGCGTAATGGCTATGTCGCTGGACTCCCACGTAGTCGACCGCGGTTCGTGTCCCGGACCCGGTGGCTTAAAACTCACGCCGGGCGCGTGTGCGTGCGTGCCCAAGATCCCGAGAGGAGAATGGAGGAGAAGGGATTGCGGCGTGACCATCCCCCCTGGGGGGTGATTTCTCGCTTTCTGTCTCTATGTCTCTCTCTCTGTCTGTCTGGCGAGCGCACGCGCCCTACAGTGAAAAATCTCTCCAAAAAAAAAAAAAAATGTTTCTGTTATTTATTATAATAAAATCTTTTGAGATAAATCTCATTAAGTATTTTAAATCAATAGCTCTATTTTCATTCCATAGCAATTATCTAAGCATAAAAATAAGTTCTCTAAGTGTAAAAACCATGCTTAACTGTTACATCTGTTGATTGAATAAATGAACACAAAAATTAATTGCTATCAAAAGATTTACCTTTAAGTTTTTCTTTGTGACTTTCCACATAAGAATGCCAATGACGAAACACAGATTTTTGAAGTATGGAATTGTAATATCTTATTGCTCTTTCCATTTTTTCAGCCAAAATATCATCTTCACGTACAGGAGGTATTGCTATGTCTTTCCAAGTGCTGCAAGTAAAAAATGATATTTTGATATTAGAGTAATATGTTGGTAAATAAATTAAGAGGAACAAGAAGTGATACTTTCTTTAGTCCATCAAAACCACAGCATAAGGGAACCAGCAGTTACTGTAATGGCTATGTCGCCAGACTCCCACGTAGTCAACTGCGGTTCGCGTCCCGGACCCGGTGGCTTAAAAGTCATGCTGGGCTCGTGTGTGTGCGTGCCCAAGAACCCGAGAGGAGAATGGAGGAGAAGGGATTGCGGCGTGACCATCTCCCCGGGGGGTGATTTCTCGCTTTCTGTGTCTCTGTCTGGTGAGCGCACGCGCCCTATAGCGAAAATCTCTCAAAAAAAAAAAAAAACCACAGCATAAAATGAAACTTCTGTGAACCGGGAATAACTTGAAGAATTCCTGATGGTTATAGAGGAAACTGGACACTATTACATGTCAATCATATTTTTTTAGATAAGATAAAAAATCATAATATTTTAAAAACCAGAAATTCAATTTCAAAATATATCTATCTCTTCAAATTTTTTTTAGATAAGTTATAGACTTATACTTTCCATTTTGAAATTTTACTTTACACACACACACCTACACCTACACACACATGCACACACACACGAGTATATATATATAGATATATATATATATATGCCGGTCAGTTGTGTCATGGTTAGGGTGGCTGGATCCTACAAGTCTGACTGTGTAGTTAGTCCCAGACACAGGGGCTGGCAAGTGGCATGGTGGTTAAAGGTGCTGGACACCCACATGGCCAACCATGATTAAAGTCTCAGACATGGTGGCTTTCCCACTTTCTCTCTCTCTCATCAAATTGGAAAATAATAATTAATAAAGTTAAAATTTTAAAAATAATAATTATTTTAAGAAAATAAGAGTCCCAGGCCCAGTGGCTTAAGAAACACGTCATACACATGTGCATGGGTGCCCAAAGTTGCAAAGGGAGAAATGGAGAAAGGATTGCAGTGTGACTATCCCCATGTGGAGAGGTGCTTTCTCTCTTTCCTTCTCTCTCTGGCAAATACATGTGTTCTCTAACACATTAAAAAAAAAAAGATAAAGTTATACTTTGAGGGAAATATAAAACATATTTTTAACTAAGTAAAACCTTGTTAGGTAGAATATAATAAAAAATGATGGAAACATAATTACATAGATAAAATGAGCACAACTGGCCCATAATGAATTCTTTTATTTAATGGAGAATAGCAAAAAATAAATACAAAAAGGAAGAGACAGTACATTCTTACCAAAAATGGGTCTTCAGTAAATGTCCAGTGTAAAAGCTACATGCTTTTATCATCAATTCTGGAGTCACCTAAAATAAATAAATATTGAAATAAAGAACATTAGAATTAAATGGAATGTCTGGGCTAACTCTGCATGATACATGAGATAATGAAAGCAATAGTCATATCTCATGGTAGCAGCCAGGCAAGCAATCCCACCCACAACCACTCACCACACTGAGCATCCTTGCCTTCTCCCATGTCCTGAGGTAACATTTGGGCAAGTGACCCTGTCCAGAGCAGTGTGCCATGCCAGTGTCGTTGAAGGAGCCCTGACCATCCACAGCCAATGGAAACAGCCTGGTAACCTGCTTCCTGCCATATACCACACCAAGTGAGTCAGATTGAGTCAGATCTCAATCAAAAGACCACAAAACCAGGAAACAATGTGTAATGTGAATGAGAAATTCAATAAGCAGACAGGTATCATATAGAGAATCAAATGTAAATCTTGGAGCTAAAGAATTCAATGGAAGAAATAAAACAATCAGCTTCAGCAATTTGATCAAGTAGAATAAAAAATTTCTTTTTTGAGTATTTTTTAAAAATTTATTTTTATTTACATTTTTTAATACATTCAATCACATTATTTAGCTTACAAAGTGATCATTTCAATATGTGAACATAGGTATTTTGAAATAACCTAGTCAAATAGCAACAATGAAAAGAAAGAAATAAAAGAAAAAAGGCAAATGAAAGCAAGTTAGCCTCTGGGATCTATAGAATACCATTAAGCAAATATTTGCTTTTTGGGATTCCAGAGGAGAGACAATAAAAGGCATAGGAAAACTACTTCTTAGAATAATAGCTGATAAAAAGCTTTCCAAGGCACACAAGAGATACAGATATCCAGGTTTAGAAAGCTCAAAAGTCTCCAAATAGATTCAACACAAAATGACCTCTGAGGCATATTACAGCCAAAACTGTCAAAAGCTAAAGAAATAAAGAGAGAGAATTCTGAAAATAGCCAGAGAAAAGTGCCAAGTCACATATAAGGAAAACTCTATTAAAGCAACAGCAGATTTCTCAGCAGCAATCTGAGAAACTATATAGCATAAGAGAATGAGATGATATATTTGAAGTTATGAAATAAAAAACAACTTCCATTCAAGAATACTATAACCAGCAAAGTCATTTTTAAGAAATGAAGGCATAATAAAATCTTTATCAGACTAAAAAAACAGAGGAAATTTATCTTTACTAGACCACCTTATAAGTAAATGCTTAAAGGAATTCTAAAGGTGAAACGACAATAACTGCTCTCATTTTTAAAAATGAAAAAATATAAAAATCACTTTTAGGGTAGATACACAAATGATAAAGAACAAGAAATCAAACTCTAAAATTAGAGAAAACCACTAACTGCAACCAAAACTGCAAAAATAAATAACAGGAAAGGCAGAAAAAAAAAAAGAAAGAAAAGAAAAAAAAAGAAAAGAAAATATAAAACAATCAGAAAACAATTTTTTAAATGATAGAAATAAATCTTCATTTATCAATAATAATCTAGAATGTAAACATATTTAAATTCCCAAACTAAAACATAAAAACTGGCTGAATGGAAAAAAACTAAAGAAGAAAAAAAAAAAACAAACTCTATGTTGTCTATCAGAAACTTACTTTACCAATAAAGACAGATATACATTTAAAATGAAGAGATAGAAAAAGATATTTCATGCAAAGAGAAATAAAAGAAGACTGAAGTAGCTATACTTAGATAAGATGGATTTTAAGTAAAAAAAAAAGTGTAAAAAGAGAAAAACAAAGGCATTACATAATGATAAAAGAATCAATTCAGCAAGAGGATATAACAATGGTAACTACACATGCATCCAGCACTGGAGCACTCAGTTATTGGATCGTTGGAAAAGTCATGATATATTTTTTCTATGTTTTCCAAGGCTAAATGCATCATGACTTTTCTAACAACCCAATATATAAATAAATTATTAGATCTAAAGGGAGAGACAGGCTCCAATACAATAACAATTGGATGCTTCAACACCTCACTCTCAGTATTGATTGGACAGACCATCTAAACAGAAAATCAATAAAGAAATATCAGATTTAAACTGAGCTAAGAACAAATGGGCCTAATGGATAATACACATTCAACCAACAGGTGCAGAATACACATTCTTTTCATCAACTCATGAAAAGTTCTCCTGAATAGATCACAAAGCAAGTTGTGACAATTTTTTTTTAATCAAAGTTATATCAAGTACCTTTTCTGATTATGATGAAATAAAACTAGAAATCTGTAACAAGAAAATATTAAAAACTATACAAATATGTGAAAATTAAACAACAGTCTCCTGAACCACTACTGCTCAATAAGGAAACTAAGAAGAAAATTTAAAAATTTCTTGAAGCAAATGAAAATTTAAAAAATAATGATGAGATACAGTAAAAGCAGTACAAAGAGAGAAGTTAATAGCAATAAGTGCCCTCATTAAAAAAGTAGAAAAATTTCAAATAAACAACCTAACAATGTACCTCAAGGAGTTAGAAAATCAAGAACAAAACAAACCTAAAATTAGTAAAAGGAAAGAAATAGTAAAGATCAGAGCAGAAAAAAAAAAATGAAACTATCAACAAAAAAAATAAAAACTCAATGAAACAAAAAAAAAATTTGTTAAGATAAAGTTTCCAGATCGGGATGGCAGTTAGCATAATGGCTATGTTGCTGGATTCCCATGTACTCAACTGTGGTTCAAGTCCTGGACCCAGTGGCTTAAACTCACTTAGGTCATGTATGCCTGTGTGTCCAAGATCCTGAGAGGAGAATGGAGTACAAAGGACTGCGATGTGGCCATCTCCCCTGGGGGCTGATTTCTCACTTTCTGTCTCTCTGTCTCTGTCTGTCTTGCTCCCTACAGCAAAAAAAAAGCTCTCAAAAAAAAAAAAAAGTTGCCAAATCATTAACTAGACTAAGGAGAAAATGAGAAAAAAAAAAATAAATAAATTAAATAAAATAAAATCAGAGACAAAAAAAGAAACATTGCAAATGATACCTCAGAAACACATAGGATCATTGGGGTACCAGCAGTTAGCGTAATAGCTTTGTCACTGGACTCCTGTGTAGTCAACCGCAGTTGGAGTCCCAGACCCGGTGGCTTAAACTCACACCGGGCACATGTGCATGTATGCCCAAGATTCCAAGAGGGAAATGGAGGAGAAGGGATTGCGACGTGGCCATCCCCTCTGGAGGGGTGAGTTCTCACTTTCTGTCTCTCTGTCTCTCTCTTTCTGGCGAGCGCACGCGCCCTATAGCAAAAACCTCTCAAAAAAAAAAAAAGAAACAAAGGATCACTAAGAGTTATCATGACTAACTATATGCCCAAAAAATGGAAAACCTAGAGAAAATGAATAAATTCCTGTATACTTACAACCTACCAAGGTTAAGTCAGGAAAAAAAACAATAACAACTATTGAGAATAAATCAGTAATAAAGTCTTCCTACAAAGGAAAGTGGGTGGCTTCACTGAAGAATTATATATTATGGGACCAGCAGTTGCCATAATGTCTATGTCGCGGGACTCCCACATAGTCAACTGCTGTTTGAATCCTGGACCTGGCGGCTTAAACTCACGCCTGACAAGCGTCCATGTGTGTATGTGTGTGCCCAAGATCCCGAGAAGAGGATGGAGGAGAACAGATTGTGGCGTGGCCATCCCCCCAATCATATATATACATGTGCCTAGGATCTTTTTTTTTTTGGGGGGGGGAGAGGTTTTCACTATAGGGCGCGTGCGCTCGCCAGACAGACAGAGAGAGAGACATAGAGACAGAAAGCGAGAAATCACCCCCCAGGGGGGATGGTCATGCCGCAATCCCTTCTCCTCCATTCTCCTCTCGGGATCTTGGGCACGCACGCACACGCGCCTGGCGTGAGATTTAAGCCACCGGGTCCGAGACACGAACCGCGGTCGACTACGTGGGAGTCCAGCGACATAGCCATTACGCTAACTGCTGGTTCCCTCTAGGATCTTGACAGGATAGAAAACTGGAGGAAAAAAGATTACAGTGTGACCACGTTCCACTGGAGCCTGCTTTCTCTCTCCCTCTCTCTCTCCCTCTCTCTCTCTCTCTCTCTCGTACTCATGTGCCCTCTAGCATAACAAAAAAAAAAAATCCATTAATAAAATACAAGTAAACCATAAAAAAAATACTAGCAAACCAAATGTGATTATACATCGAAAACATTGTAAACCACAACCAAATGGAATTTATTCTACTGATGCAAGGATGGTTCAACGTATGCAAATCAATATATTGCATCAACAGAATGAAGGCAAAAAGTCATGAGATCCTCTCAAGAGATGCAGAAAAAGCATGTGTTAAAATTCATTATCAATTCATGATTAAAAACCCTCAACAAATTATGTAGAGAAGGAAAGTACCTTAACAGAAGAAAGAACATAGATGATAAGCAGCAGCCAACATCATACTGAAGAAAAGTTGATAGTGTTTTATCTGAGAACTCAAACAATTCAAGGATGTCCACTTCCACTGCTTCTATTCAGAATAGGATTTAAGTCCTCATTGGGACCAGCAGTTAGCGTAATGGCTATGTCACTGGACTCCCACATAGTCGACCGAGGTTCGCGTCCCAGACCCGGTGGCTTAAAACTCACGCCGGGTGCGTGTGCATGCCTGCCCAAGATCCCAAGAGGAGAATGGAGGAGAAGGGATTGTGGCGTGGTCATCCCCTCTGGGAGATGATTTCTCGCTTTCTGTCTCTCTCTGTCTGTCTGACGAGCGCACACGCCCTATAGCAAAAACCTCTTAAAAAGAAAGAAAGAAAGAAAGAAAGTCCTCATCAGAGCAATCAGACAAAAGGAAAAAGTAAAGTCCATCCTAATTGGAAAGGAGAGAGTCAACTATACTTGTTTGCAAATGACTTCTTCTTATAAACAGAAAAACGCAAAGAATCCACCAAAAAACACCTCTTAGAACTGATAAATGTATTTAGTAAAGTCGTAGGATATAAAATGAACTACAAAATCAGTAGTGCTTTTTTTGGAGT